TGTAGAGTATTTGAAAAATAATGTGTTTTTTGAACATTAAAGCATGTCAACATATTCTGTTACACCAAATACACAAAATAATGATCTTTAAAAAAGCAACATATGACCCCTGTAATATGAAATTCGAAGAGTATGTCAATTAGATTAAACTGTGCAGAAATTGAAATCTACACGCTAATACACACTATACTCAGTCACCAATGCTGATGCTGTTAACATTAATCATTTGAGAATAAAGTATAACAATAATAATAATTTGAACGGTTTGATGTGATATGAGCTAACCGATCTTTAGATTTAATCACCATTGGTAGCGAGATTTATAGTAATGCTTTTTTCCTCAGCTGGTCAGAACAAACGTTGTAGACTTGTTACTTACTTGTTCAGATGGCAATATACGGTGAATATGCTTATTTGAGTCATATATTCCAAGATGTAGGCTAGAATCTGTGATTGCGAAGTACACTAAATATCCACACCGGTGCGGTGGCGACAAAGAGGCAAAACTTATGGACTGCAGCTTTAAACAGTTTTGTTTTTGTAAATTTTAACTTGATTGTCATTTTCTTCAATCATCTAATTATTAGAATATCTAAAACGCGTTGCATGGGTGGGTACAATGTGTGCACATGATCAGGATGGTACCACCTCCGCCTCATTTTGAGCCCGGAAAAACCCTGATATGTTTATGTGGCGAATAAAATTTGATGGAAATATACTTCAGTGCCTCTGTGTCAGCAAAGGGGGTGACAATAATACTGTGATCAGTGTTAATATCAATCACAGATGGTAACACATCGCGGACACACAGTGATGTGTAAATTAAACCTGCATTGTATCAGCTACTGTGGTCTGCATTGGTGTCTTGCTGTAACAAACCATGGCACAAGAACTCAGCTAAATAAAACGCTGAGGGGTCTGAAGGTTGTATTTAGAATATGAAAGTCAGTTGTCCGTACAAAGGTACATGAGTCATACTATATACAATTTACCCACAAGTCCCATCACTGTCACCTGAAAGGTCAGAGGTAAATAATATCAGCTTACAAGAAATGCTGGCAAAATGAGAATAGCTAGTCTTAAGACCATTACCTATGCAAGTATAAATGTTACAAACTAAGTTTCATTATAAGAAGAAAAAAATCTAAGTTGCAAGTAAAACCGATTACTGGAGTATGTTTTACAACAAAATACTTTTCAGTCTTTCTGCTTCAAAATTTCATGTTTAATTAATTGTGTTACTTGCCATTTCCTTGCAATTATTTGTGAAATTTACAAGCCATTTCTAAGTGAAAATTGTTTCTACACCAATTTTATTTTTTGAGTGTAGGGATGGTCGATTTATTGAGTATTTGTGATATTTTTTTCATAATTTGATGATAAAATTAAGCATCATCGTGAAAACCGCAATGAATGTAAGCTTGTTATTTACAATCCGTCATCTAGCATATCAAAAGTATTATGATAGCAAGACAAAAACTGGTAGGTTTGATTAATTTATTTGATTCAGTTCAAATGTTTCAGTTAATTCGATGATTCCCAAAAGTCATTTTCCATTTATTAAAAAAAAAATGTAAGTCAACATTGCTACACTGAAAAAAATTAAATAAAATTTTGGTTTAAACAGTTTTCACTAATCAATTGTTAGAAGATTTCACACAAAAAAAAAGACAAAAGAAATGGCGAGCAACTTGACATTTTTAAGACGAAAAATTTAAATGGTATTTTATTGTAAAACATACTCCAATAATGACGGTTTTATTTACAACTTAAAAAAAAAAAAAAAAAAACTGTGTACTTTTTTTTTTTACAGTGTACTATGCGTTTTCATTATACTCGCGCACACACAAGTGAAACCAAATCAATGTCATTCTTCCTTGTGTAAATTCATTGAAAACTAGATTTTTACAATACTTCAAAATGTTTAATGCAAGCAGTACAGATGTTTGATCAACAAGTTAGCTCTTATGACACACAGAAATACATAGATTCCTATGAAAACAAATAAATCACCCTTTTTGAAGGCACTTCAAAGCAAATACATGAACATTAAATATATATACCTAAATAAAAGCTAAATAAATTTCACTTTATCTATATCCCTCAGTCTTATTTATCAGTAGCACAAAGCTGTCTGCGATTATGTAATAGGCCTAGGCCTATATCACAGACAAGGAAAGAAATCAAACCAGAAGAGCAGCACACTTATGAAGCCACATTCCTATCCATCAAAAAAAGCAAACTGCAGTGCTTGAACATGACAGACATTTCAGCAGTATGTCTTCAAGACCAGCACCTCCCTGCTGGAGAAGCTCCACCCGTCTGTTTGTGAGCAAACAAAGGCACGGAGCTCCTTTTAAGGAGGCTGTGGCAGAGAAGGAGAAATATAAATGAGCTCTTTCTCCTTAGCCAGCAGGGTTTTAGGGAGGAGGATTACGACTGCATATCTACAATCACATTATGCTCTCGTACCCCTGCCTGTGAAGCACTCACATCCACTAGGGAAAACAGAGTGCCTGGGAAAGGATATCCAAACACAATCAGGCATTAACCCCCACACATGCTTTGGGGAATGGCAAAACAATACACAGTATCCAATAGAAGACATTTTGGGTCTCTGCCTATTTTCTGAGCGCTGGTAAACGCTGCAGACGTAGCGAGACAAACCCTGCTGCCAGGCACACCAGAGGTGCTCAGTGCAGGAGATGGAGGAAGTTGTTGCCATGGAAATGTGCAACACATGGGTCGCCAAGCAACAGCCAATCATGACCCCCGCCACTCCCGCATTTCTCCTCCATGTGTGCGAGTTTACTGGGATGACGACTAAAAGTGGTTTCCAAGCATGAAAATATAAATATGTATACGTATTGTATTGTGATCACTGTCAAAACAGCTAAAACAAAATCTTAATGGAATTAGAGTTGCACCAAAATGGCCAAAGAGAAAATCCAGACTGACGATTCGAACGGAAACCGCTACTTCAAAATTTGCTAACAGAGCCATTGTTATCTGACGTTAGCAATGACATATTTATAAGAAAGAGGTTTACAGTTCTCGAAAGACATGTGTCTTGATGCATTGTGAGAGCCTAACAGAGAAATACAGACAGCAGAAGTCTAAAGGCTTGTTCACACCGGAACGAATATCGTGCGCGATTATCGCCGACGTTTAACGCCTCGTGACTAAACAAAGGGCACCAATGTGAGTGTGCACAACGACGCGCAAAACACAAGGCGTAAAAGCGTCATTTTTTAAAAATCGCCTCGGGCTCGTTTTTTTGGTTTGACGCGCCGCGTTAAAAACTGTCCGACCAATGAGATTGCCGCTTTTGTTCACGTGCCTGGAGCTGCTGAAGTTACAGTAAAACACGACTTGGAGGCGCTCAAGCACAAAACGGTCTTGCCGAGCACACATTGATACCTAACGACAAAGAGGAAGTAAGTAGACCAAGAAGATGCATCGAGGCAAGATGAATGTAGAGCTGCTGGTCTCATTGGTGTCTGAACACAAAGGGCTTTATGACAAATGCGACAGCGACTACAAAAATCTCGATAAGAGGGAGTTGTTATGGAGAGGAATTGCAGATCAAATAGGATTCGATGTGTACCGGGGTATTTCTGTTTTTCATTAAGCCCCTCTAATGTCAAGGAGTGAATTTGCATGTTCACTCGGCTCATCGCCTGCGAAAATCGCTTGGGTATGAACACAAAAGACGGAAGTCTTCTATTCAAAGTCAGATAAAAAATCTTCTTACCTTTGATCTTGTTTTCACTTTTGATTTGACTTTTTGCCGCCTTTTTAGCTTTTTCTTGCTCAAAGCTTTCTTTCCCCTGGAGAAGAATGACACGTTAGATGTGGTTTTGCAGTGTCATCTAGCAATGAAAACAAATTATAGAGTAAACATTCTCAAATCAAGATACATAGAGAGGCGAAATGACTTGAGTCATATTTCCTGAGAAAATTATCAAAATGAAGTGCGTTTATGATTAAAACAAGAACAAATATCTGCCAATGGGGTCAGAAAAATAAACTTAATTCAAAAAAACAAGACTTTTATATTTTCATTTTGCATCTCAAGTAAATGCATCTTGATTTAAGAAAAAAAAAAAGACAAAAACAATGAGGAAGTTTTTTTTTTCTTTCTTCCCTTTTTTGCAGTGCATGCAACATTTAATGCAGTGACTTTCTGCTCCAATTTAATACCTTTTGAAGATATAATACCCACAGAAACCCTGAATTAATACAAAGGTCTATTTAGATAATAACATTCAAAGGGCATAAAGTCTGGTTCAACACTGCAGGTTATTCTGGCCAAGAACTGTCCACTTAAAAAGGAGGAGATTGTCTAACACATGGAAACTGACTAGACAGTTCATTTTTGGTTTTTTATGCTATTCAGAGATGGATTTATGCCTAGAAAAACTGAACAGCAGCATTTGTCCAAAAAACATGCAGTGCGTCAATCCAGTGCCTCATAAACACGACTTTGTTCTCTGGTGGACTTTGCAATTCAACAGACAGAAATAGTGTAGTCAATCACTTTCGAAATGCCAATTTTCATATATTGGTTGGCAGTTTAATGTGCAATATGAATCAGACAGTCAGTTAATTGATTGTGGGCATCTGAGGCTGACAGTACTACTAACATGCTTGCCATTTTCAATTTTGTCCGTTTTTTACAACTTAAGTATTTAGTCTCAGTTCAATATACTGGTAAAAAGTCCAAAGGTCATACATCACAGATATCTTAAAAGGTCAGCACATGTAGTCGTCCCTGTAATGTGTGGTTTTAACATGAATTTTTAATATGCATGGATTTTAAGAGCAGTAATATCTTAAAGGGACTCCGCACTCAAAAATCTGAGTGCTGCCATGTTAACACCTTCGCAATTAAACACATGCTGGTCTTTTTCGCATTGGTTTAAATTTGCTTACACACTGTAAAACTGTTTGTCACTGTTTGTCTAACATGAGAAACTGCAAATAGCCCGAATCCTAGTGGCAAACCCTACACAAGGAAAGCGCTCCTGCGGCGGGCGATCATAGTTTTATTTTCATCAAGAGAGCCATCTGAATCTGCTATTATGTACCTTCTGTATGAACGGTGTTGAAGTGCTAGAGCTTGTGTACAGCAGTAAACAATGGAACAACAGTAGCTGATCATATGCAGTGAAAAGTGAACGCACAGAGGCTGCTTGTGATGAAGAGCCTGAAGGTTGGGAGGGGCGTTCAACGGTTCAGCGCTCTTTGCATGCTATCAACGCTAGTGACGTCATGAGTGGATGGTGCAAGTGTACACTATGAAACCACTGGTAAAAGGGCTATTAAACCTCAAGGAAAATCTTTCAGATTTCCAGAGATTGGAATGAGGGAAAAAATGGTCACTTTATTTTCGATTTTGCAATCTAATACACATTGTAACATGCATTTATCACAATTATTCTTGTAAGCCTATTCTTGCCTAGAGAAGTCAGTAACAACATAGCATATATTTGACTCTTCTGATGTTAATCTCAAAGAGCTTGAAAAAAGTTATCAAATTATTGTTTTACTGACCTCTGCGCTTATTCATTTTTACCCGAGTTGTATGTGTAAATTTAATTTTGAACCATATGGTTTTTTGGGTAAGTTTAATGTAAATTAAAAGCAATTTGGCAAATCTACATCTAAAAAGATTCTTGTATTTTTAATAAGTTTGATTTTATTGATTGAATCAAATCAGAAATCAAAATCTACTGTCTAATTTACTAAGGAACTGAATATAATTGAAGAGTGGGAATACAAATTTTTAGTAAATGCAAAGTTGCTTGTAAATGACTACTAAACCTCAAGGAACTCATTTTAATCATTTTCATTTTATATTTTGCTTTTCTAATACATTTTGCAACATTTAAAAATTCATCACATGTATTCTTATAATAAAGACTTGTTTTCTTGACAATAAAAACATTATATAACATTTTGACTGGTGTTGCTCTCGAAGATCTTGGAAAAAAAATCTGATATTTTTTACTGACCTCTAATCAAGTTGTACGTGTAAAATTATTATTATTATTGTTGTTGTTGTTGTCATAACTTTCATATAGATAAAATCAATTTGGCCAATCTAAACAAATAAAAAATGTCCTTTTTATGAGTTTGCTTAATGTATTGAATCTGTTAAATATGCAGAATTTCTTTTGCTAAAGAATACAAAATAAAGAGTATGAATACAAAGTGTTGTCATTTTCACTTTGTCATCTAATTAGGTTTTTTTTATTATTATTATTATTATTATTAGGTGACTTTTTTGTCTTTTTTTCTCAAAACTACTTATAAATGAAGTACAATGTCAAAGTATAAATATATGAAGAGAAACAACAATAATTTTTGCAAAGTGAGATCCCTAATAAGTGACTGCTCTAAGCCTTAGGTGTGTGTGTGTGTAGGTTTTTCTACACTGGTGAGGAGTAAAACCTGAATATAGACCAACTCATGGGGACTTGTGTAACCGTGGGGATCTAAATTGAGGTCCCCATGGGTACAAAAGCTTATAAATCATACAGAATGAGTTTTTTTTAGATTGTAAAAATGCACAAAGTTTCCTGTGAGGGGTAGGTTTAGGGCGATAGAAAATACAGTTTGTACAGTATAAAAACCATTACGCCTATGGGGAGTCCCTACAAGTATAGTGAACCAGACGTGTGTGTGTGTGTGTGTGTGTGTGTGTGTGTTTCTCTCTACAGCAGGGTGACGTCAGGCAAAACAGAACCCAGCCCTTTGCCAATATACACGATCCCATATGTACTATCGATGAATAAGTCACAGTTATGTAAACGTAATAGCTGAATATCAACCTCCCTGAAAATGCAATTCAGTGAATAAGGCTGATATCTACAACCTGAACTGGGACTATAAGACATTTCGCTAGCCTTAAATGTGCACGTATTTGACGCGAAAGGTTTGATACTTTCTTCTTTGCGTAACATATCATTGTCTATGCGCTGCATTTGAAGAAAGTTACGTTTTATCATACACATCAAACTCATTCGGTCACGTCCTATTAGCACAACACTACATTTTAAGCCTAAGCAGCTGCTTAACAGCTATCGCTATTGATCTAGTTGTGCAAGATCTCTCAAAACGGCATTGTTGACCGTGACAGCAGAGTGAATGTGATTTTAAACAGTGCATAAATCAAAAGCAACACAAACTGAGCTTCTCCGTTGACCTGCATGAGATGAAACGGGTGTTTTAGCTGCGCTCGCTAAGGAAGTTAGCCGCATGCTAACTGCTAACTTACTGCTGTTTGGGCTCAAATGAGCTCAGGTTTAACCCAGTGGGTTTTGTTTACAAAAACGTCCAGCCGCACGCCATCGCGGCCGGTTTGTCATCCCGAACCGAGCCGGTAAATCAGACCCACCTGCCGAGGTTGAGCCCCTGCTCTTTGTCGTTGATCGCGGTGGTGTAAATCCTCCGGTACCGCTCCGCCAGTGCTCGCCCTGAGAGAAGCAGCTGGTAGCGGCTCCGACAATCCGAGCGGGCCCCCACAACGGGACAGGAGCCCATGCCTGATCCGATCGATGCGAAATCGCTTCCAGCTCCGGGAATGACCCTGACTCCCAGCCCCATGGAGTGGGACGAGGAGGACGGGATCCCGCTGCCACCGGCACCCGCTGCCGCAGCAGCACACATCATCGTTTAGGGGAACAACGCATATATTAGATTACAATGTCAGTCAACAGAGCTAACTCAAAAGTCCCAAGCACACCCCATAAATCCGCTCCGCAAAAACACCCGGCGAATTACATCCGTGCACCTCCAATTAAAACGACGTTTACGGTGAGCCGCTCTGCTGCAACTGCGAAATACGCGTCCGTTCCTTCGCCCGGGTCAAACACCGACCGTTATTTCCTCGACTGCAGGCGACCCGACTGCCTGAAGTGAAACCAGTCAAAAGCGCGAGCTGGCGTCCGTGCTTCGCGGGTGTTCCTGCTGTTTTTCTCGACCCTGTAAAGACAGCAACCCTAGCAGCGCTGCCATCTTAGCTTCATCATCCTTCCCTGTTCATGTCGCTGACTGTCAAGCATGCTGGGATACATTCCCATCCGTAGCACACACCGGCTGTGTTTCGAAACGCAGTGCGCGGCCTACCTAGACACAAATCGAGAGCTCGAGCGAAGATTCTAAACGCGCCTAGAGTGCTGTCTAGCTAGGGGACTCGATAGATTTTGAAACGCACCCGCTGTAGTAATGAAACGGCTGAGTATGAGGCGTCAGATGCGGGTTTGGATGCTTTAACGTTCGTTTCTCTCAAATAAGAATTTGAATTTACTGAACGGTTACAAAAACACACATCCAGCGAGATTATTTCCTTACAAGGGAAGGGCATGATGAATCCTACATACAATACACTTATGGTTATTATTATTATGCTCTGACAATAACATGGGCCATTCATTTCTGGCAATATCTGGTAATATTAGTCGTATTTTATACGATCTTTTATAGGTTTATATTGTATTTGCATATTATTCTGGAATTCTTGATTCTGATTGGCCAACAGCAGCATGCAGCTGGAGGACTCGACACTTTCCTCACATACTAAATATAATTTCTACTCATTATTTCATTTATTTGTTCAGTAGTCATGCTTTAAAGACATAGTTCACCCAATACAATACAATACAATTAAAGTCAGTGGTCACCAAAACTGCTTGGTTACCAAAATTGTTACCAAAATTCTTCATAATATTGTCTTTTATGGGCCACAGAAGAAAGTAGCCTCATTCAGGTTTGGAATGACATAAGGGTGAATAAATTATGACAGTTAGCCAGTCGTTAATACAAAAATAAACCCCTTCATGTCAACTGGTCACACCAAAACCTAGTCTTGTTGTCAGAATGTGTTTCCATGGATTATGTTACGGCATGTTTTCTGGCATACTTGCTGCGTCCCAAATGACGCACTATACACTATGCACTCATACACTATGTACTTGTGCCCTATGTACTCAACCATGTAGTGCATGAATTATATAAGGTTATCGGAGTCTGATAGCCCCTCCCCCTTCGCCACGTAATTAAATCTGCAACAGTTGAGTGCATGAATCCAACATTCCACACTTCGTTTTTTAAGTGCATCATCCGGGTATTTAAAGGGGTCATATGATGCTGCTAAAAAGAACATTATTTAGTGTATTTGGTGTAATGAAATGTGTTTATGCGGTTTAAAGTAAAAAAAAAAAACATTATTTTCCACATACTGTACATTATTGTTTCTCCTCTATGCCCCGCCTTTCTGAAACGCATCGATTTTTACAAAGCTCATCGGTCTGAAAAAGCGAGGTGTGCTGTGATTGGCCAGCTATCCAATGCGTTGTGATTGGCCGAATACCTCAAGCGTGTGACGGAAATGTTACGCCCCTTACCATATTGTGATGATGCCCTGTCCGGCCGACAAAAATATTAAAACCCATTATAAACGAGTCATTCGTTGCATCCAGTGGGACATAATTACTGATTATAATGACTTATACGGTCTTTTTACGCCACTATTTATACTAAAAAACTTCATAGAATAGTGCATAAGTACGTGATTTGGGACGCACCTACTGTTTCTGTTACCACTTAAGCACTATTACCAGTGACCTTTATCAATTAATTATATTAATTAATTATAATATATAATTATAAATATAATAAATGTTGGGGGCATGTGAAAAAGAAGTGCACTTAATTTACTGAAAGTGTACTTGTATCTTCGGTTTCACAGACTTAAGCCTAGTCCCAGACTAAAATGCATGTCTGAGCTATTTCAACTAAAAGAAACTTGCACTGATATATTTTAAAATATATCAGTACCATTGTTTTGTCTCAAGATGCACACCAGTAATGTTTTTTTTTTTTTCTAAGGAATGTTTATAAAAGATACTTAAATGTCCTAATTGTACTATGGCCTAAACCTGGCTTAGTCTAAGCCTTGAGTGTGAAACCAGACCATAGTATTAAAATCTTAAAGGTCTATTTAAAAAGAAAAAGTGTATTTGTACGTAATATAATATCAATGAAATAAAAATCTGCTTAAGTGTACTTAAAGAGAGTCCATTTTCATGACTGTTTCTTAACACACTTGAGTACACTTTTAAAAATTGCACTTTGAAATAATGTGCTTTAAAGTCCTGCTTAAGTGGGTCAAAAAGCACTTTAAAGTTCAGCTAATTGCATTTATTATACATTTAAGCTATAATACATTTTTATTTAATTTTAATTAAGTGTTCGAAAAACATTACCTTCAGAAAGTATATTCTTTTAAAGTACTTTATTTCCATATAATAAAGAGTCACATGGGTCCCCCTCAATACCTAGGATGATTACAGCCCTGATTACAGCTTAACCTGGTACTTGTAAACATAGGATTGACTTGCAACCCACATATTCTCTTTATATCTTTGTATATCTATCTATGATATAATTTCTGTATACCTGTACCGATTTGATTTCTTCTCAGATGTAACATTCCTGCTCACTGGTGAAAAATAATTGCCAATTGTCTTGGCGAGAGCAGTCACCTCTGCGGGGAGAGCTTTAATTAAACCTTGGAGACTTCCGTTTTCATGTCATTTTTAAACAACACAGTGAAACGTTTGAAACGAAAACATATTAATGCATACCTCACTGTATGAGGTAATCTTAGACAGTTAGAAACATGATAATGCAGAATGGACAAACATTTAAGTGGATATTACCATATTATTGCTTGTGCAACCGTTGCTAATCATAATCTACACAAACCACTCACCCTGCACTATTAAAAAATAAAGGAGTCTTCACAGCGATTCCATAGATGAACCATTTTGGAGAACATTTTCTAAATTGTAATGCTAAGGGCACAACAGATTGAAGTGTAGCTTTATACATTGAAATTTCTATATCTCATGATCTGCAGGTATGAGACAAAATAAAATATGTATGTGGATGTCCATGAAGCAGGAAGAGAGAGAGTGAGAAAAGGTTATGTGAGAGGAAGTGCACATGTAATAAGGTCAGTGAATGTCCTCTGACTGGGGACACAAATACTGAGATGACATTTTCCCTCCTCCCTTCAGTGTGTTACAGACAGACAATGGTTTGTGTCAGCAGCACTGAAGTAATTTACTCTCCAATGAATCACCCTCAGCTTCAGTGAGAGTAACAGACGTGAGACTGAGAGAGCATCTTCACCTGTGCAGGGACTGAAGTTCTGCTCAGTCAAAACAAATAATGATATAGCCCAGTGGACAATGCGTAAGGATTGTATTTATCAAATAACATTTTAGATTAAAATATGTTCCTATCAACACAATATGGACAGGTACCCTAAAATTAAAGCAATTTTTAATGCAGTGAGAAAAGTATAAATTCTAAATTAGAAATGTAAAATGTCTCTTAAATGAAGGACCGCAAAATATGACGTGAAATGCTTTTTTTTAATTTCTTGCCCCATCTAGTGGTGAGAAACGTCAGTGCTAAAATGAAGAAAGGTCTATCTATCTATCTATCTATCTATCTATCTATCTGTCTGTCTATCTATCTGTCTGTCTGCCTGTCTGTCTAGCAGAGGCACCTTTCCAGTAGTCAAGACACTTTATTTAACATAATCAATGGGAAGTTTTACATTCAATGATTGCTCTCTCTCTCTCTCTCTCTATGAAATTCAAATAAAGTGGAACAAAAAGGATATTTAAGTAATCTGATGAATATGACATAACCTACATCTGGATGTCATTTCAGTTGTCATATATACAGTATACGGTCACATACTTGAATGTTAAAATGTTAAACAAAATTATTTACTTTTTCAAACTGCTTGACAAAAACTAAATTATGACAATGATTTTGTGTTATTTAATTATGTTCAATCTATTTAATCTACGCTTCGATATCTTTTACAGTTTCTATAATTAACATTAGAGCTGTCCAATCCTGCTCCTGGAGGGCCACTTTCCAGCCGAGTTCCCGCTCTGATTAAACACACCTGAACCAGCTAATCAAGGTCTACAGGATCACTAGAAATCTCCAGGTAGGTAGAAGTGAAACATATTCCTTGTAGAATAACAGAGCTTGATGTTTTCTAAGACAGTTTCTTTAAAGCTGCAGATTCAACTTATTTTGAACTTATGAATTAATGAATCTCTTTATATGTCACCAAATAACCATGTCTATTATTTTCTCATAAACACAAGATTTTGTGGGTATTTTCAGACTAAATGAATCAAGATCAGTTATATGCACATTTCACATTTAATACTTATTCAAAAGTAAATGAATGAGTACCTGATAAAGTTGCTATCAGGGAGCAGGAAATAAAGCACAGGATAGCAAATTCCATGTCAGATGATTATGCTGATTACTTCTTGTTTCATTAACTGCCCGTGCAAACAGTGCAAATGAGTATGCATCCATCTATCTACACTTTCTTTTGCAAGTTTGAGTTTCACTCAGATTTTTCTAATAAATTTTACACATGGAATTAAATAAAATCCTAAGTTAAGAAGTTAAATAAAATTAACCAAGTGGATAAGTACATACTTTCTTATTTGACTCAATCTTAGAGTGATTATACGTTGTCTTTTTTCCAGACATGTACTGGTTGGGATTTCAAAATTGCCTGAAATGTCCTGGTTTTGGCTTTGTTTATCTATTGATGTGGAATTGAGTTTGACACCCCTGCAATAGGAAAATAAAGCCAAAATCTGGACACTTTAGGCAATTTAAAAATGTCTGGGAAAAAGAGGACGTATTGTCACCCTAAAAGACAAGTGTTCACACTTAATTTATTTTTGTTTTAATAAATGTTTAATTTATTGCATTGACATTAGCACTGTCACGAATCTGGTCCATGCACTTCACATCCATGCTCACTACTATGGACTCTTGCACCACACTACACTGTTGCACTTCACCCGGACTACAGTTCCCATCATCCATTGCACTGATTACACACACACAGCTGAATGCACTGATTACACACACACAGCTGAATCCAATCAGACATGCTACATAAGCCATGGACTTCCTCTCTCTCACTGCCAAGTATTGTAAGTGCATATCGCTACCCTAGTCAATAGCTACTTTACAGAGCCAGTTCCCATTCCTTGTTTGAGTTCTAGTTGTCTAGTCTAGTCTAGTCTAGTCTAGTCTAGTGTAGTCTAGTCTAGTCTTGTCCAGTTTCCTGTTTCCCGATTTTTGCTTGTCCTGGATTATCCCTCTCGTCTCGCCCTGTTCGAATACTGTTTGCCCCTCGCCTGGACCATAGCCTGTGTTTAGTATTAACCCTTTGGAACACCCTGTTTGGACATTGTTTGCTGGAGATCGACCATACCCGCTCACTGGACTACTCTTGTGTCTTGCCCTCTATATACCTGTTTGCCATTATCTGACCCTTGCTTGTTTTGACTTTGTTCTAGATTAAAAGCTTTGCATATGGATCCGCACGCCTCTCGTCTCGTTGGCTCCGTAACAGAATACTCGGCCACACAAGCATCCAGCAGCTTCTCATGTGAACATTGGCCAGATATGGACACTGCAAGACTGTTGTTAGCCCTTGAGCAGGGCACATGCTCGCTCGAGGACTACATTTAAGAGTATCTGGACATTGCGTATGTAACACGTGTCTAAGGAATTGGCAATTTAATAAATGAATGGTGTTATTGCAGATAGAACTGAATTGATCAGAAGATTTAGAGCTCGTAAAGGAGGTGGCGGGTTGTGGTGAGAAACAACAGACAGGCACAAAGTTAAATTTGTACTTGGAATGTAATTGTTCCTTTTGATATAAAGTGGAAATAATAAACAAAACAAAAGAAAGTAATTTACAATGTCATACAATAAAGATCAACTATGAAAACTTCCCTTGAGTGCACTCTTCTTTTTTTCCCCAAAACATATACACAGACCGGTCAGAAATGTCAGAAGGAAATAAAATAAAAAAATAAATGAATGAATAAAATAATTGACTTTTCTCTCAAATGATCATAGCTGTCCCGATAAGGACTTCGGGGTCAATCAAATGGTTTATGGGTAACCATATAACATCAATAGTTCAATGTTCTGTAAAGTACTGATCAGTTTCTTCTCTTTTCCCGTCTCTTTCTTTTTTTTATTGTCAGTTCCCTCAAGGAAGGGAACTTAATTCTTTAGATTAGGATCGTCTTGCTTCATAAAGCAAGGCTGATAATTGAAGGGAAGGATATTGTCCTCTTCTTTATGATGTGTCGTTTTTTTTCCTCTGTAGCAGATTTGGTTGGCTCGCCATCAAATGTGAAGTTTCACAGGATGTCACAGAAGATCACAGGGGTGTCACGAATGGCCGAGTTATCAGCAGAATCACCGTACACGGTTTCTTTTCTTTGCAGATTTCATGAACTGTAGAAAAACGCACATTTGGAGAATGATTGTACCCACAATACGAATTTTCTTCTTCTGAATCAGAAAGAGAGTTGTCATCAATTAACGGAACATCAGGACTCTGTCGTGTTCTAGGTCTTGAGATGGATTTGTTTAGTGTGGGTGTTTCAACCTCTGGAGATGGTAAAAATCCACAGGGGAGCAAAAGGTCTCTGTGAAGAGTACGCAGAGGACCGTCCTTTCTCTCCGGACGAACGGTGTAAACTGGCAAATCAGCTGCCTGATTCACTACAACATACACCTCAGACTCCCACTTGTCTGCCAACTTGTGCTTCCCACGTAACCTAACGTTCCTTACCAACACTCGATCACCAATCTCCAAAGAGCAATGAGTTACAGATTTGTCAAACCTAGCTTTGTTCCTTTCTGCACTTTCTGACATACCACGTGATGCAAGTAAATAGCTCTCTTTCAGATTGGTTTTCAGGTGCTTGACATACTCCGAGTGAGACTGACGTGGGCTATCATTAAACGGCAATCCAAAAGCAAGGTCAACAGGTAACCTGGGTTGACGCCCAAACATCAATTCATATGGAGTAAACCCAGTAACCTCATGTCTTGTGCAATTGTACGCATGAGCTAATGGCTTTACAAAATCTCTCCAATGAGTCTTGTCTTTTTCTTCTAAGGTACCCAACATACTGAGCAAGGTCCTATTGAAGCGTTCGACAGGGTTTCCCCTGGGATGGTAAGGGGTTGTTCGAGTTTTCTTAACACCTGCCATTTCACAGAGCTCTTTAATGGTGCGCGATTCAAAATCTGGGCCCTGATCGCTATGAAGGCGCTCAGGGAACCCATAGTGCACCACAAAGTTCTCCCAAAGGCATTTCACTACCGTTCTTGCTTTTTGGTTGGGTGTAGGGACTGCCACAGCGTACTTGGTAAAGAAGTCGGTGATTACCAAGATGTCTCTTGTATTACTTTTGTCTGGTTCTAATGAGAGAAAGTCCATACAGACTAACTCTAATGGTCTTGTGGCTTGAATATTAACCAATGGTGTAGCTGTTTGAGGCAATGCTTTCCTCCTCACACAACGACCGCATGTTCTGATCTTTTGTTCTACCTCAGCAGCCATCTTTGGCCAATAAAAGCGAGACCTGACCAAATCTAGAGTTCTCTCTACCCCCATATGACCCATACTGTCGTGCAAACTGCTCAATACAGAGGGCCTCAGTTCTTCAGGAAGCACGAGCTGGTAAGTAACTAAATCCTCCACCTGCCGTTTCCGATAAAGCACTCCATCTTTTAACTCAAGGCGGTTCCATTCTCTTAGAAAGAAAGGAAGGCCTGGAAGTTCCTTCCTCACTGTTGGTGACGGTTTTTCTCCAGACTCTAAGTGAGATATTACTTCCCGGATGACGGGATCTGCCCTTTGTTCGTCACAGAGGATCCTTGACAAAGATACAACAGGTAACCCCTCAAAATCAGCCTCTTGCTCATAGCTATCAGGTACAGCATCAGGGTAAAGTGCAAGAGATTCAACGAAAGTGGTACCAGACCCAATGTCCGTTGGTTGTCTGACCAGGTGCTTCTCACAGATAGCCTGAACTACTTCACTTGTGGCATCGCAAGAATCTGCAGCCTCTGTAAGATGATGCTGCATAAACTGTTGAATCCGTTCGTACTCTTTTTGAGATACAGGGTTTTCGGCCAACTCTTCTTGAGGTCGCCTCGATAGACCATCAGCATCAGCATTTAGTTTACCTGCTCTGTACTGTAACTTAAATGAAAAAGTAGAAAGAGCAGCAAGCCACCGGTAGCTAGTTGCGTCTAGTCTTGCTGTTGTAAGTACGTAAGTTAAAGTGTTGCTGTCTGTAATGACGGTGAATTGGCTGCCATACAGATAGTCTCTAAACTTTTCAGTTACTGCCCATTTAAGTGCAAGGAACTCAAGCTTGTGTGCCGGGTAGTTTGACTCGCTGCGGGACAAACCCCTACTTGCAAATGCAATGACACACATCTGCCCTTCCTGTTCCTGATACAGGGCTGCTCCTAACCCCTTGGTGCTGGCATCTGTATGTAGAAAGTAGGAAAGTTTAGGGTTTGCAAAGCCCAACACAGGTGCAGTAGTAAGTTTGTCGATAACGGACCGAAATGCCACCTCACAGAGTGAAGTCCAACGACCCCCGAAGGGCTCTTTAGGATTGTGGTACGGACCCTTACCCTCGTTCTGTTTACCACCTTTCCTAGTCGGCGGATACCCCACGGTTAGGTCAGTGAGTGGTTTCACCACCCTAGAGTAATCCTTAATAAATCTGCGGTAATACCCCGAAAAGCCCAAAAACGACCTTAATTCTTTAAGGTTTTTGGGACTCGGCCAGGTTTTTAAGGTTTGCATTTTTTCCGGATCCGTCTCTACTCCGCGCTCTGACACGATGTGCCCTAAGTAACGAACGGAAGTCTGGAAGAATTTACACTTTTCAAGGGCAAGTTTTAACCCACAGAGTCGAGAAATAACTTTTAACAGTCGTCTTTCATGCTCTTCCAAAGTCTCAGAAAATATGATTAGATCATCCAGAAAGACAAGTACTTCCTTCAGATTAATGTCCTCCATACACTTTTCCATCAATCTCTGGAAAGTACTTAGGGCGTTAGTGAACCCTTGAGGCATGCGAAATTCCCAAAACCCCAAGGGGCAGACAAAGGCGGTTTTGGGTTTGTCTGCTTCTTCTACTTCTATCTGGTAATACCCAGACTTCAAGTCAAGCACCGAAAACCATTTTGACCCAGTTAAGGGGGAAAATGTTTCCTCAAGATTGGGTAATGCATAAGCATCTTTTACTGTCTGGAGATTTAACTTCCTATAGTCTATGCACAACCGTACATCTCCGTTTTTCTTCCGCACCACTACGATAGGCGAAGAAAAAGGTGACTCGGACTCTCGAATAACTTTGCTTGCGAGAAGATCGCGCAGATGTCTGCGGACAGCTTCCAGATCTTGTGGATGGATCGGTCGCGCCCTATGTTTAAATGGAGTTTCATCATGCAACTGAATACGATGTTTCACCTTTTGCGTATGCCCAAAGTCTAAATCGTGTTGACTGAAAACATCTGGCATTTCTCTGAGCTTTGCAGAAATGCGGTCCCGCCACTCTTGTGGCAATGAGGACTCGCCGAAATTCGGAGCAAAATTGGACTCCTGAACAGGTAGGTGCTTGCTAACAGGGAAAACATTCGGCTGAGGAAGCACAGACTCAACTGCATGCAGCTCTGCTATTATGCATCTCGGAGGAATAGCTATATCATGCTCCGTTTCGTTTTTGAGTACTACAGGTAACCGGACAGGCTGACTATTAGAAGGGGTAAGTAGGCAGCGTTTTACAAACACACCACCAGGAAAAGAGGAATCAGATGGGTGCTCTACTACTACACACTTATCTACACAACCAGGTACTGCAACAGAACCTTCCACAACAACAGTTTGACCCGCGGACATGACCTCGGGTACGTTGCTCCTTAATCTCACACGACACAGAACGCCACTTGTGTTCTGCTTTCATCTCGTTTCAAGGTTTTTCAGAACCAACCTTTACCCAAATAAGGATGGTTGGTGCATTGGGGATTTTGCATTTAACTGCTGCTCATAAAGGATGTCGAGAGTGTTTGTTCCTATTAAAACCAAGGGCTGAGAGTTTAAATGTTCTTTAATAACCTCTACACCTCTTTTCAACATTGATTAGAGAAATATGATGTTACTAAACTGTGAATAAATGAAATAATTCCCTTCAATTACAGTTCATTTAACCGGGGTTACACGTATCATTCTGATTTACCGGACAGTGTTTTGATAGATTTTTTCTGTAATGGCATTAATCAACCGCTAAAATCTAAGCTTATACTTGAGGGTCCGCATTCGTCACTACGTCAGTTTGTGGATTATGCTTTATTGACTGTTGGCTCTTTGTCTACTGTGGGTGTCGTGGAGGAAGAACGTGACAACGCGTCTGTGCTTGTAATGGTGGCTGCTGAGTTTAGTCAACCACAAGCTCTGGGATATTCAAGTTTACTGATCGCTGCTCGGGTGATGCAACCCGCTCGTGAAATGGCAGCCGCGCCAGCGCGCACTCTCATGATGGCGGCGACAGCGGAGCCCATTCGCAAAATGGCGGCCACACTAGAGCACGCTTACAAAATGGCAGACACAACAGCGCCCTGTTATGTCACGGCTGCCAATTATGAGTCAAGTCAAGTCACAGCTGATCTTCATGCGACAAGTCAAGTCACAGCTGCTCGCCATGAGTCCAGTCACGTCTCAACTGATCTTCCAGAGTCTCGTCACGCCTCAGCTGATCTGCTGCTGATCTTCGTGAGCCAAGTCAAGTCACCGCTGATCTTCGTGAGCCAAGTCGAGTCACGGCAATTATAGACTTTTGTCCTGTCCCTATCCAGCCGAGGAAGCTGTCTCTGAACCTTCAGCCTTGTCTGTCACACCCGAGGACGCTGTCTGTAAACCTCCTGACTGTTCTGTAGCGGCCATAAGGGCAGTTCGGGAACTCTCAACCCTGCCTGTCGCGGCTACGAAAGCCGTAAATAAACTTTCTGTTTGTGCTGTTAACACTGTCTTTGTCAGAGATACCACAAGTGAACTATCTGTTTGTCAAGTGTCAATTAATGAGTCTGAGGGTGAGGTGTCAGCCTGTCCAGTTCCTATCAAGGAATCTGTTATCTGCCCCATTAGTCCAATCATGAGCCCAGAAAATATAATTGCACTCCAGGTCTGTCCCGTTAACCCTGACATTGCCATAGAGACCATTTATGTACTGGTCCCTCCCCCTGTTCCGCCTCCGCTCCACCACCCTCCTGGATTGTATGGGGCTATGTTACGAATCTGGACTACTCTTGTGTCTTGCCCTCTATATACCTGTTTGCCATTATCTGACCCTTGCTTGTTTTAACTTTGTTCTAGATTAAAAGCTTTGCATATGGATCCGCACGCTTCTCGTCTCGTCGGCTCCGTAACAAGCACAGCTTGAATGAAACTACTAACATCATAGTTAATTAACCATCATAGATCCTAACCACAAGCTACTCTTCAGCACAAAGCTAACCACAAAAACGTCAACAACAGAAACTCTTTTAAATGTCCAACTGAACTTTAAAAATGGGTTTGTCTTTACACAAAAACACATAAAATAATGCTTAATTTCAACATTTGCTCTCCCGTTTGAGTCTTTTGCAAAGCATGCTGGGAACTAAAAACTCACCCATGCCATTTAATTCAGCAAACACTGATTTAAATTACAGTTTGAAATATTTGAGTGGATTGAACACAATGAAATTAAATTGTAATATGTTCAGCAATTGTGCTACTTAAGCTCGTTTTAATTAAGTAAATTGAAAAAGCAGATAAAATAACCTTATTTTAAACCTCAGAAGCACAATGTTTCATGTTAAATAAATACAATCGTTGCATTCTCACTCCTCCAAACCTCCTATTTGCAAATATTAATATTTGCATGAATAGAAGAGGCATGTTTGGTGTAACATAAGAGGCTTCTTCCTCACTGAATGTCACCAAGTTTGATTGTCTTTTGCATATTACACACTTTAAAACTATTGAGTAGGATGTGATTAACATGAACCGCAGTGTCACACCCCACATACATATTTGCTTACAGACATACTGTATCTTAACTTACACTATACCCTAGCTTCCACAATAAAGCACAAACCTAACATGCCACATGCTTCTGCAACAGCACACCTATTCATTTAGAACAAAAAAATAATAATCCAGCTCAGTGGGTTTTATCTTCTGAGGATCATTATCGCCAAACACTACAGAAAGCCTTCACCACATAACTTTGACTTTAGTCTGCTCTAGTACGCTGAAAAAAATGGTGTAGGATTTTATTTGAAAACCATTTCCACTCAGAAATTGCAAGTAAATTTCACAAGTAATTATAAAGAAATGGCAAGTAACTTTTGTAGATTATATATATAATAGGGGAAGTCGTGGCCTAATGGTTAGAGAGTCTCAAGTATGGCAGGGATTGTAGGTGGGGGGAGTGAATGTACAGCGCTCTCTTCTTTGAAGTAGAAAGACTGAAAAGAATCAGTCTCCAATAATCTTTGTTTTATTTACAATTTAACAAAATTCTTTTTTTTCAGTGTACACTGAAAAAAATGGTGTTGGATTTACTTTGAAACAATTTTCACTCAGAAATTGCTAATAATCTTCACAATTACAAAGATACAAGTAATGAATTAAACATTACATTTGAATTCCAGTCATACAGTAAGTGCCTGATTGTGAACGACAATAATTGCTGGCAAAATATTACAAGCAATAAACAATCAGAATTACAGTTTTATCTTGCCATCTCGGCGGAGGTTGTTATGGTGGCCTTCATGTAGTTTTCTAAGACAGACAATTGACTGCTGATGTCCTGACATTCATTGCTTAGCTTTTCATTAGCTGGAGCGAAAGCCCTCATGAAGACACACCCCTGCTGTAAACTACGTTGACATAGCTGTGCTGACAGTTCAGGTTCAGTTGCTCTGGTGTGTGTCACATGAAGCCACACCTTTCACTGGTCTTGCCTTCCTTACCCAGGTCAAATATGTAAGAGGGGAAGAGCAGCAAACTGTATGTTATTCTCCTCTAACCTCTATCACATCCCGCACACCTGAAATACCAAGGTATGACTGTTCTCTACCCACTTAGACTTTTATCTGTAAGTGTGTCTCTGAATTCTATCAATTTTATGTCAGTCATGTTCATGGTTAATATTTTTAGCCTATTTGTTTGTAAAAATCAAAGGGTTTTTAGGTTAGTGATCATATCTAAAGCATGTCATTCAAATGGATTCTTCTGTGATATGGATTTATTGTATGACTGTACACAATTAAATATTATGTTTAGAGTTACACAGTGCAGTCTTACTAAAGAACAGTTTACAATGTCAAGGTGAGATTGAAGGACATGACATTTACTGTAGTTTTTTTTTTTTAAATATGATTAGAATAGTGCTTCTATACGTCAGAAGTGGGACAGTGGTTTTGCTCTCAAATCAAAATACAAATACATCAGTTTCCCCATCTAGTAGTTTTTCTGTCTCGTAGTTCCTGGACTTTTTTTTTTTTTTTTTTTTTTAAGTTTTTTTGCCCCCTTCCTGGTTTTTTTTTTTTTTTTTTTTGCCAAGGATTTGCAAAACATTTTGAATTCCCGCAAAAAAAGATTCTGGTTTGTAATTGTTTATAAATGGGTAGTTGATGCATAATGTGTCTATGGACTTTTAAATGAACAGCAAGTTAAAATTGATATGATATATATTTATATGCATTAATGTAATACAAATTAAATAAGTTGTTTGTATATATAAATTGCTTATTGTTTATATATATTTATATATATATGCATATGTCAAAACGTGTAGTCTCTCTAAAAGGAAGTAATAAAAGCTGAATGCATAATAATTTAAAAAGAATTAGTGAAATGTTTTAAATGGAGTTTAGCATGTCACTTTCCTAAAAGTATTTAATGTCACCTACCCAAATTTGAAAAACTTTTATAAAAGTTTTTTCTTTTAACATTTTTACCATTTTAACCTATGCAACAAAAAATCCAGCGAAACCTCCCCTGTGTGATGTTCATTGCATCTGATGTTTCTTTCCAAGTGTGAGAATGTTGCCATGGTTTCAGTGGCAGGTGTTTGAACAGGGTGTGTCTGTTCAGGGATCAGGACAAACTAGTTTTGGGTGTATCCAGGAAGGTATGAAGTGAAAGGACAGCGCTACATCAAACAGCACTAGGAATGGAATGTGTTAACTATGAAAATTAAGCATTTCATGCACTTGATGCTGCATTGACACACTCTTGTCACATCTTGTCTAGTGGCACTATCTTGTGGATAGTAGAAATGACTACACACTGTATCTACTGCAAATGTAATAATGTGTATCAATTCCATCTTACAGCATAAACCATGTCTTTCACTCCAAAATCATACAGTAAAACCCAAACAGGTGAGGAAAAACTCCTTAAAATGACATTGTTCTCATAATAAATCACAAGTACTCTAATAAAATCATTTTATGTATGTAATTTTTTTTTTATTAAAAACAGTTACAACTTCAAGCACTAGATCCACTAATGTGGATGACGGCAAAAAGAAATCCCTGCTAAAGGACAATAGCTGGATTAGGACAAATGTGAAAGAGGAGGAGCAAGTCGAGTAAGTTTTCAACACATTCATCAATTAACAGCAAACCAGACAGACATAACTTGTTTAACATCTCGCCTCTGTGATATTTTTGTCAGCGGGATTTACATGTGTCTGACAGACTAGAAAACTGACATACTGAATTTATGTTTCCCATCTCTCAACAGACGTGATGGTAACTTCGGCAAAACTGTTCTGAGTCGTTATAAGTCCAACGAAAGCCTTGTCAGGTAGTTTATCTTGTCAAAATACGTTTGTTTTTTCATCCCACATGTTGCCATTAAAATTTGTAATATGAGGTCCTTGTGTTCTTTTTTTATGAAGCCCTCAAGATCAAACTAGCAAAACTGAGAGCAAAGCCAGCACTGTCAGCACTTCGTCAGGTGCCACTGTCCAAGCGCTCTCTAAAAGGTAATAGACTGATGAAGACGCACTTATCACTTATGCATTAAACTCCTTGCCAAATGTGTTACAAATGTGCATCAGATTACACTGTATTTAACAACACTCACAATACTCAGTATGGAAGCCCATTTCCACCACATGAAAAAACAATTGTTAAATAATAATAATGACCTAAAATGAGAAAAAGAGTCAAAATGATTGTCAGAATTATGACAGAAACTTGAAATCATGAAAAAGTGTCAAAATTATGAGATTAAAAAAAATCATAATTATGACGAAAGTTGAATTATTTTATAATTATGACACAAATTGTTGAAATGATGACATTAAAGTCATAATTGAGATACAAAGTCGAATTTGAAATTATGTCAGTCATAATAAAATGTTGAAATGATGACAAAAAAAAGTCAAAACTAGAAGATAAAATCTCATAATATGACAGAATTACTCATTTTTAACTCATAATTATGACTTAGTATGTGTTGTGTTTCATAATTATGATTTTGGCTCCCACAATTTCTTTTTATCTCAAAATTGTTAAATAATTTTCTAAGTTTTTAAATTCCTTGTTTTATTGTTGTGATTATTTTTTTTTATTATTATTTTCTTTTCTTTTATGTAAAGCACTTTGAATTACCATTGTGTATAAAATGTGCTATATAAATAAACTTGCCTTGCCTTTCCTTCAAAATGATGACTTGGTATCTCATAATTTATACTTTTCACTCCATAATATTGACATTTTATGTCAAAATGGTGACTTTTTTTGTTGTTGTCATAATTATGATTTACCAAAGCATGAAGCATGACAAAATAGATTCTTTGGAAAAAGTTTATGTTGACAAAATCGAATATAATAGTCTCATGTGATTGTTTTTAACGTGCAGATTTGGCGGCAGCCAGGACAAACTGAATGAAACCAGGTAAAATATACACACACTTTTCTAGCACTGCAAAATCACAGCTTTCAACTTTTATTGTTTAAATCTGTCTCATAGCAAAAATCTAGTAATTATTTTAGAAAAACAGTGTATTTATTATACAGCACAATAAATGTGTTGAAGAACGTGGACTTGAACATGGACTTACATTTACAATATGATTAGTCACTAACCTTTGCTGTATTTAAAACCTGTTAGTAAGAGTGATCAGAAGCCAAAAATGCTGGGAATTTAAAATATTTGAAGAGCTCAATTTTCTTCCTAACCCAACCCTACAGAACAACAGGAACTAAAACAACTGTGAAAACGGAGCCCAGGAAAAGGTAACGCCTCTGAGACACACCTGCTTAAATGACTGATGATTGACTGACTGAATGAATGAAGACTAGCTTCTTACAAAACTGATGATTGCTCTTTCAGCTCTACTTCTACAACAACAACAATCAAAGATGGTACAAAGATAACTGAGACAACTGTGACCACTACCAAGTAAGATGCTGAAAGGACATCATATCGATGTCATAACTATTTCACATTATATTCATCTTAGCTTGCAATCACAGAACATGTTATGAGGTCAAGGTCAGGCACTTTAACTGTGTTGTCTTCTCGTCCTCAGGCAGGATGTGGTGAAATCATCTACCAAGTCTGAAACACTCACTGATAAAGAGCTGGCAGGTTTAAACACCAAGAGTTCTGGGTAAATCAGCTCGGTTCATCATGCATTCGATCATTTTTAATAAACATTAATATCAAACCAAGTGCCATTTATTAAAAAAACAACAACAACAACAACACACTTTTCACACAAATTTAAAAACCATGTTTGGTTGTAGATGATAACTAATAGAAAAACTGTTCAAAATAAGATTCATTTATTATGATGTCATGTTTTCTAATTAAATGAAATTCATATTCATTTGTGGCTTAAATATGTCAATGCATGTCTGACTGCACATGTTATCTGTTCCTAAAGTGATTACAAGACTGAAGTCATTACTGTCAAGTCATCAAAGGACACTGTTGATGGGTGAGTGTTATAAAATATAAAGTTAAAAATAATACTTTTTTTAAACTTTTTTTTTGTGTGTGTATTAAACTGAAACCTATCATTCTTTTTGTCTAGACCAACTTCACCTGTCAAGACCACCACAAGGTACCGTAACCACAGTCTTGCTTAAATTGCTGACTAAACTGAACAAAAGTGTCTACTTTCTTAACCTCTTAGCATTTTCAATTCTAGCATCAAAACCTACACCAAAGGGGATGTTTCACCCACTAAAACAACATCATATTCTGTCCGATCCACAAAGAGGTGAGTTTCTGAAAGATAATTACAAGTAAATGCATTTCAGTCATTGTAAGACAAAGTACATCACTGACTGAATGCTTTTTTTTTTTTACAGCACTGAGGATCAACTATTTGATACTCTCATACCAACATCTATCAAGTCAGCCAACACGAAATATGACAGCAGGTATGTTGCATTTGCATATTTATAAACTAAACAACTTAAACAATATCTTACTCCACAAAAAGTTGAGAAAGATTTTAATTCATCACACAAATATAGTATTTATTGCACTTGTTATAATATGCACTTGAAAATAATGCACGTTTTGTGTCTCTAAAGTGACTACAAGACTGAGGTGGTTACTGTGAAGTCTTCAAAGGACATCATTAATGTGTGAGTGTCACAGATCAGTGCTTCTCAGCCCAAGAATGATGGAAAGCAGTGGGGGAAATGTATAAAATGTGCTATATAAATAAACTTGCCTTGCCTTTCCTTCAAAATGATGACTTGGTATCTCATAATTTATACTTTTCACTCCATAATATTGACATTTTATGTCAAAATGGTGACTTTTTTTGTTGTTGTCATAATTATGATTTACCAAAGCATGAAGCATGACAAAATAGATTCTTTGGAAAAAGTTTATGTTGACAAAATCGAATATAATAGTCTCATGTGATTGTTTTTAACGTGCAGATTTGGCGGCAGCCAGGACAAACTGAATGAAACCAGGTAAAATATACACACACTTTTCTAGCACTGCAAAATCACAGCTTTCAACTTTTATTGTTTAAATCTGTCTCATAGCAAAAATCTAGTAATTATTTTAGAAAAACAGTGTATTTATTATACAGCACAATAAATGTGTTGAAGAACGTGGACTTGAACATGGACTTACATTTACAATATGATTAGTCACTAACCTTTGCTGTATTTAAAACCTGTTAGTAAGAGTGATCAGAAGCCAAAAATGCTGGGAATTTAAAATATTTGAAGAGCTCAATTTTCTTCCTAACCCAACCCTACAGAACAACAGGAACTAAAACAACTGTGAAAACGGAGCCCAGGAAAAGGTAACGCCTCTGAGACACACCTGCTTAAATGACTGATGATTGACTGACTGAATGAATGAAGACTAGCTTCTTACAAAACTGATGATTGCTCTTTCAGCTCTACTTCTACAACAACAACAATCAAAGATGGTACAAAGATAACTGAGACAACTGTGACCACTACCAAGTAAGATGCTGAAAGGACATCATATCGATGTCATAACTATTTCACATTATATTCATCTTAGCTTGCAATCACAGAACATGTTATGAGGTCAAGGTCAGGCACTTTAACTGTGTTGTCTTCTCGTCCTCAGGCAGGATGTGGTGAAATCATCTACCAAGTCTGAAACACTCACTGATAAAGAGCTGGCAGGTTTAAACACCAAGAGTTCTGGGTAAATCAGCTCGGTTCATCATGCATTCGATCATTTTTAATAAACATTAATATCAAACCAAGTGCCATTTATTAAAAAAACAACAACAACAACAACACACTTTTCACACAAATTTAAAAACCATGTTTGGTTGTAGATGATAACTAATAGAAAAACTGTTCAAAATAAGATTCATTTATTATGATGTCATGTTTTCTAATTAAATGAAATTCATATTCATTTGTGGCTTAAATATGTCAATGCATGTCTGACTGCACATGTTATCTGTTCCTAAAGTGATTACAAGACTGAAGTCATTACTGTCAAGTCATCAAAGGACACTGTTGATGGGTGAGTGTTATAAAATATAAAGTTAAAAATAATACTTTTTTTAAACTTTTTTTTTGTGTGTGTATTAAACTGAAACCTATCATTCTTTTTGTCTAGACCAACTTCACCTGTCAAGACCACCACAAGGTACCGTAACCACAGTCTTGCTTAAATTGCTGACTAAACTGAACAAAAGTGTCTACTTTCTTAACCTCTTAGCATTTTCAATTCTAGCATCAAAACCTACACCAAAGGGGATGTTTCACCCACTAAAACAACATCATATTCTGTTCGGTCCACAAAGAGGTGAGTTTCTGAAAGATAATTACAAGTAAATGCATTTCAGTCATTGTAAGACAAAGTACATCACTGACTGAATGCTTTTTTTTTTTTACAGCACTGAGGATCAACTATTTGATACTCTCATACCAACATCTATCAAGTCAGCCAACACGAAATATGACAGCAGGTATGTTGCATTTGCATATTTATAAACTAAACAACTTAAACAATATCTTACTCCACAAAAAGTTGAGAAAGATTTTAATTCATCACACAAATATAGTATTTATTGCACTTGTTATAATATGCACTTGAAAATAATGCACGTTTTGTGTCTCTAAAGTGACTACAAGACTGAGGTGGTTACTGTGAAGTCTTCAAAGGACATCATTAATGTGTGAGTGTCACAGATCAGTGCTTCTCAACCCATGAATGATGGAAAGC